TGAAACCCCCAATGTGCCAAACGTAGGTTTATGACTTACGTAATCATGACCCCGAACGGATTCCACTACGTACTGCTTTGCACATTACCCAATACCACCATGATTGCCAGCCTTTTTGTGCGTCGAGCCGGTGTTGCGAGATATCTATACCTCATTATGGGCGTTATTTTGGTTTTATGGTCGTCTATCCTTGCGCTGAGAACGTTACCACCCTTTGTCCATTTTCGCGTGCCTTGGAAAGAAGAACATTACAGCGAGGTTTCGTGTTCTACCAAGAACTCTACAAGGTCCTTCTCTCCCTCATCGACACAGTTGGGTATCGCTTCTCACGTGTATCTCATATCTCTGCCTTGGCGACAAGACCGGCGACAACAAATGGAACATTTGCAAGCATCCAAAGAAATCAATTGGACGGTTGTTGATGCACTCGACCCTTCAGATATTACTATCGGTCGTATCTTCGAGCGGATCGTCTCTCAACGTTCGATGCGGCCCTCCAAAGAACACTGGAACGACTTGGGATTAGTCTTCCGTTGGCCCGCTGATGTCAACGCCATTGCTGCTTCTACAGAGGACTTTGGAGCTTCTGGATCCGACCTCTGGACCTCTTCTGCGGACACTCAAAATAGCCGACATACTACCTTGTCCTCTCTTGGTGTTTCGCAACACCCGAACGTCACGTGCGCAACTCAAGATCACTCTGTACCGTCTTTCAGCCCTAGCCTCCCGGACTGGATGATCCTCACTGCGCCAAAGATCTCTTGCTGGTATTCCCATATCTCTGCCGTTCGACAATTCATTGATAGAGTGAATACCACTCCCGAGGATGTCGCCGTTTTCTTGGAAGACGATATCGATATGGAAAAGGACATCGAAATAAGAATGCATCACATCTGGCCCTCTCTCCCACATGGCTGGGACATGGTTTTTCTGGGTGAGCGCCGGTTTCAATCTGTCTCCGATTGATGCTATATCGTATTCCTCAGGTCACTGCTGGTCAAACGAATCTTTCTATCCTGCACTTCCATCGTCCTCAGGTCATGTCTCCGTTATATGACCGTGTCAACACGGTCACACATACACCCATCTTACTCTCCACGTTGTACTCATGCTTACGCCCTTTCCCTGTCCGGTGCTCGACGTCTTCTGCAGCATCTTCGCTACCCGCCATTCGCGTATTCCAGAGCTCTTGATCAAGCTTTCAGTTGGCTTATCGAAAGTGGCCGATTACGTGCTTTCAGCATCGTTCCAAGCGTCGTTATCCAGCGTAAGGTCCTGTCGAGCGACATATTTCCAGGATCCAGTGTGGGGAGTACGTGGAGAGAGCATTTAGTGGACGGTGGTTCGGAACATAGAACAAACGCCAGTTTGTCGTCTTTTTATTGACCTGTCCTCTGTTGTATCGCCAGTCATTTGTATGGATCTGATTTCTATCTCACTTCAGTCATTGTTTGCTGTCTTCAAACTGCTGGGGCCAACCCGACCCTGTAGTCCAAAATAAGGGAAACCCGAATAACTGGTGCACTGTCACACAACATGTAATCGAAAATCTCGAGCAGGTCGGCAAGTCACAATTCTTCTCGCTGTCTCGAAACCGATACCAAGTCTAAGTCAGAAGATTTTTTTTCGCAATTGCATATTGGATGCCTGACATGGAATCCCTCGTGAAAGCGCATGGCTAACAAGAATAAGAATAACGTATCACTGCCAGCAGTATCCATAATTCGTGAGTTATCGTGATCCATGCTTTATTTCGGTCGCTCCTTGCCGGTTTGTCTAAGGTTATCACCGCGCATATTGACTGCTGTTCCGCATCTCCTCCCGTAGTGCCACAAGACATTAAAAACTAATACTTTTTGAGGCGTTCTGTTGTGCCTGAAGCAGGGAAACCAGAGTATCTGACTCTGCTGCTAAAAACGAGTGTGCATGAGGTAGTTACACTCGCTAAACTGTCAGGAGTCCTCGGGTATGGCCACGCCGAACCATTACGTGAAAACGGAGGCAGAAAGAAGTGACGCTGGACCTGACAGGGCAGAGTGGTAGGAACGAGAGAGAGAATACGAAAGGTTGAACGAGTGGCGGTAAGGTTGTTGCAGCATAACGAGAGTCGCGTAGTGGTTTTGACAGATTCGGAAACAGCGGACTAATAATGGGGTGACAGCAACGAGAACAAGAGAATGAGGGTCGACAGCGATGAAGGGTTTAGTAAAAGCGGGGACTTGGACAACTCTGGATGACGACGGCGGTGATAATGAAGGAGAGGAAAAGGATGGTATGTGAACTTGCCAAGAAAGAAAAAAAGTCTCGGCCTTATCTTCACTGTCTCTGAGAGCCCGGGCCCCGTTTCCACGTATGAAGAGGTTTTCGAACAGAGGGAGACTCTGTTATTTCATCCTTTGCTCGACATAGTCACATAGAGTTCGAGATAGTTGCCATGATCGGTTTAAACTTTAGGATTCTAGTGGAGAAAGGGTTCTGTTGACGGCGACACCGTGAGTTATGCATTGGCAGATTCGGAAGAACATCGTGGCATGCAGAGGGCAACGTTTAGATTGAGCTCGGCTGGGGCACGGCGATCAGAGCATTCATAACATGTAATGATCAGCCAATACAATGTGCTACCACTCATCGATTAACCAGCTGTTGGTTAGAGAGGCAACTCCAAATCAAAGAAGTAAAGTAGAGCGGTTTCGGGACTGAACGTACTGAACGGGCGCTCGCGTGTTGACTCTAAACAAGTACTGTTGTTGCCAGTCGATTGGTCGAGAGCCTCGTCTATCAATGAATCATACCACCGTGCCATCACCCAGAGTTGTCCACGTGATTTCGAGACAAAATCCAAGTGAACGTCACAGCCACAATTTCCTTTTACGTTACTGACAGTACTAGTACAAAGACAACGTCTGTGGAATGCAAGCCGTATACTAACATCAATTGATAGCAGTTCAAGCGAGTTCCCACTCTTCCCCGTCATCGGCGTAAAAGAGCTGCCTCATGTCCGAGCTCTGATTATCCATACACAAGGTAGGCCCCACGGCGAATTTGTTCAAAAGGTCACTAAACTTTAATCCCAACCTAGGAGCATTTGAAAGCATCACTTGACTGTTGTCTGTGACGTGAACGGACAGATCAACGGTGGTCAATGTGATAACGATATCATCAGAGCCAATCATGACCATCCCTGCACTGTCCTTGTCAGAGATACTAACACGGAAGCGAGTGCGTTCGGTGCGTGAAACATAGACCGAGTTTGGCGTGTTGCCGTTAGACGATAGGGGACAGTACCAGTACTCGTAAGGAGAGGCCTTAGAGCGAATGAAAAAACTTTGGTAGAGCCGCTATCAGCCAAATGTGAAATATCCTGTGAGAAACGACTCACGACTTCCCGCTAATGTTGTCCATGCAACCAGACGACGACGGGATGATGCTCAAGCCGCGACCACCTAGGTCGTTCATCAATGTGAAAAACACCTTTCCAAGGAATTGAGTCGCAACCCCAGTCGTGGTGAGAGAGTTAGCGGCGTTGGCCTGCCGCACGTCATGGGTGTAGAATTGGGAGTTGACACGCCGAACACTGTCCGAGAAACTAACGACGGAGGAAGTGGACACGGCACGCCACCACTCATCGGCAATTGCGTAGTCGGCGAAGGTGATCACATATCGATAGGTCGAGTTGTCATTGATCTGAATGATGGTTTAGCGCGACATCGCAGACATTAAGGAATGAATTTTGGGCGTACGTTTTTTACATATGCGTAGTGGACCATAATTGTACGTCGGGAGATGATTTTTTTTTGTTCTGTTTGGATTGATACGAATCACTCGAACAATGTTATATAGAGAGAAAGTTGTTTGGTCGAGTTGATCGTGATACTAGGAGTTTCCACGAAGCAAGCTGCTAGCGATGTGTCAGGTTCGGGGCTAGGCTAACCTAGGCAGGGCTTTCGAGGGTGACTATGTCACTCTACATCGACACCCTTATCGCCAAAGGACGGGGTCTTGAGTCTGTTCGCGGCAATGAGTGGAAATGTTGTCGTAGAGTGAGATAGCCAACCACTTCTAAGTCCGAGGTGATATCAGCCACCCTGTTCGCGAGCCTCGAGCCTCAACTACAACAATCTCATGTTCCTTTCATATCAATTGCCCAGAACAAAGATGTGATCAACAGCTTACGGGGAAGACTTGAATTATGACACATCCAAATTCTGGACTCTGTACGGTCTTGAGGGCATCTTCGAAACGACCAGTCTGGGGCCGGAGTTGGGGCCAGATTCTGGGTGAAGTCTTCTAGTGTTTCCGAGGCACCTTATCAACGTTTAGTATGCAAAGACAAATTTATGACGACCACGACGTAGTCCTTAGGAATGGGATTTAGTCCATCAATGACCTATCGAACGACCCATACATGGGCATATCAGGTTGAGATCTTTGGCGGTATGGAGTTATGATTGGACGCGGCGAAAGACCAGAAGCAACGTCCAGACGTCAGAATCGAAAATTTCACGGAATTTTGTGGAAGCAGCAAGGGCATTGATATCAGCGAGAAACTGGGCCTAAGTTGTCCCGGGAAAATGCGCTGGGAGCGTGGTTGATAGAAATTTCTGAAGTGTTGAGTGAATCAACAAGCGACCTGTTCCATTTGCTTGTGCAAATCTAAACGGCGTATCGAGGTATCTGTTCGTAGCCTTTGTATTTGGGGTGAGCCTAAAGATATTGCCGATTACGCGCGGAGGTATGAAATTGCGGGTTGCTAGTGACATCGTTGTGTAAGGTGTGAATAAGTCAGTCCTTTGTTTTCACATCGATTTCATCCCGTGCATCGCTCTCGCAGTGCTCGGTGATAACGTTCTTCGCCGCACCACTGAAGAACGCTCTAATGTCCCGCTGCTTTGGGTCGTAGGCGATCTTGCCGGTCCCACCGGCGTTGAGCTTCTGAGAATGAGTTCTAGCATCCACACACATATTTTTAAAGACGGGTGAACATACAAGCTTGGTGAGATGATCCGCACGACCGAAGTCCATCACTGTTACGATCAGAGGGTGAGTGTCTTCATCAATGAGGTCCATTGATGTGCCATCTGAAACATCCTGCATGCCACCATCAGCATCCGCATAAAAAAGGATGTCATCAACTAACCTGCATTTTAATAATTACCCTCGCCCACGCCGTGTTCTGCATCCCAGTGTACCCACGTGTAGGGGCAACATTTCTGGAGTCCCTTTTCAACAATGCGCAAATGAGTGCTCTAATACAGAGCCCATGGCTTACGAGCGCTATATGCTCTGCACGCCCAGCCTGCACTGCACTACGTACGTGTGGCATGATCACCTCATCCACAGCCTGCATCGCACGCGCTGCTAAATCTTCATCTGACTCACCATTCGTGAAGCGTTCACCCGGATTTGGTGTGGGGTACTTTCCCTCGCTCATGTACTCTGAGAGCGACTTGGAAGTCCTGTTATCCGGAGAATACCACGGTTTCCCTTCGGCAACGCCAAAATTTTGCTCCTTTATAGACTCGATTGTAAAGTCATGTGGCGGCTGTGGGGCAGGTTGGGCGGCAAGAACAAGCGCTGCAGTGGTGGTAGCGCGCTTGAGGGGAGAGGCATAGATCTTGGTGAATACAGTTTGGGAAAAGTATGCGCCGAGAGCTTCAGATTGCTAGAAGGAATGAATATTGATTGGAAGCAGGAAATTTAAAGAAGGCTGACCACTTTTCCTGCATGATAGAGAGCATATCAGACTCAGCAGTTGATGTGGAAGAGGACTTGACGAACCGCGCTGGCTTAGTGGAGCATCGGCCCACCCTGCCCACACGTGTCTCTGTGACATCTAAGCACGATTCGGTTCATGGAGACTACAGAGTAAACTGACCACATTATCAGTCGACTGTCCATGTCTGATCTGATTTCCGTTCGCACATGAGTTTGTTTGCAATGGCACGACACGGATGACTCACGAACGTCACGGTCAACATGAAATTGAGAGCTCTAGGTTTCTAATATCCTGAATCCTCTAAAGTATATCGAGCCTAAAGGGTAGCTGGTCGAGTCGCGTCAGATCTTTAGAATTACAGAATATCATAGCATATGTGAAGTTGTCGGCAAGATGGCCGAGTAAACTGAGTCTGATTGTGTGCTAAACCGCCGAGGGACAAAGACATACCGGTATCGAGGATGAGTACTCCAAGTTGAGTAACCACTAGAACGAAGATGGACAGCAGTCTCAGCGAGGAGTGTAAAGGGAAGTTTGTGGCGGAGTGTCGGTATTGAAGTCGTTCGGTTATTCATAGTGCCTGTCCGGGGTTACTTTACGCCTGTACAGTTCAACATTCAGGCCTGCGGGAAAGAAGTTTGGAAGCTCATCAAAATTTTTATTCAATGGTACTAGGGCATATGGTAGTTCGGGTATAATAAGTACGAACTTGGACTGCCTGCGCATTTGCTGCGCACTACAGACAACTACGGTCATGTTCGATTCTCTACAGTATCTCGACACTGCACTGGTAAAACTTGCGCCTGCCTTGCCTCTTGGCCTCTTCCTTTTCTGGTACTTACGGCCTCCACCACGCCTCGCTCAGATCCCACCAAGACAAGAGAGAGTTCTCATATTAGGTGCGACGAGCGGAGTGGGTCGTACCCTTGCTCATCAATATGCGAAAAGAGGTGCACGAGTATGCTTGGTAGGACGGAGGGAGTCAATGCTTGAGGGGGCTGCTGAGGAATGCAGGGAGGTATCCCAAAGCGATCGTGTTTTGTGTGTGCGTGGAGATTGCGCAAGCGTGGAAGACATGGCAAAGGTGCGCGATGCAGTGATCAAAGGTATGCATCATAGTCCTTTTTGTGCCGCACAGTCACTCAGGTGACGTGTCAGAGTGGGATGGCATCGACACGATCATAATCACGGCTGGTGTTTCTGCCCTTCAACCATTGATGTCAGTTGCTGGAGTAACTGCTTCCAAAGACGGTTTCTCTCCACCACATGCCACTACTGAAGCCATTCACAACGCGGTTGGTGTCGCAAAAGCAGCTATCAGTGGCAATTTCTTCGGTCCATACATTGCTGCGATCACATTTGTAAGATTACATTCCCGTGCAACACGTTGACACTCATGAATGTTCAACCTACTAGATACCTCTTCTCACGTCTTGTTCCATATCACCGTCTATCCTTCTCCTTTCAAGTGTGGCAGCAATCATTCCTGCGCCAACACGCACGCTCTACGCTTCTACCAAATCAGCTTCCCTAGTACTCTTTCAGGCGCTCGCAATTGAGCACCCCCGTATATCATTCACGTCCTTCCTTCCTTCAACGATTGAGGGGGACTTCCGCGCGTCCGCGGTCGACACACCGCCCAATTCTTCCCCCGTTATACATGAGGCTGACCCAAACAAACATGGCTTGCGCCGCGAGGTGGTGGCAACACGTTGTATCCAGGCCATTGATCATAAAGAGAAGACAGTCGTTATGCCCCAGTACATGCGAATTGGACAAATTTTATATTGGATCTGGCCAGCATGTGTGGAGTGGAGAGCAAGGGTGAAGTACAATTTTAGGTGAGCGCAGATCAATCTCATTTGTGGCACGCCTGATTCCTTTTTGTCTTAGAGCCGACTAGGGATTCCTTAGATTCTAAATCTCTCGTATGGATAAATCGACAGCTTTAGAAGCCATACTCGGAACCGATTTACACCAGTCTGCACGATACAGATAGGATCACGTGTTATGAAAGTCGTTTTTACCCCCTAACAAGCGCTTCGAAGTGCTCCGTCCACCTTCTGACATTTTCTACCGAGAATTTATGATCTTAGCAGGCAGCTCGTCGACATCGATTGGGGAGGTGCATTGACCAAACACGCGGCGGTAGGAGTAATAAGTCCGAATAAGAAGTACAAAAACCACCCTCTGGGTCTTTACTGCCAAAAGGGAAGACAGAAACCGGAAGATCTCTAAAGCTGTCTTCTTGATCAGATGTGGTCACGCCTACAATATCAATTCACTGATGCACACTCGTATTCCTCACTCAAACTGCGCCAGACCACCGCGACTATAAAACTTTCGCTGCAATCTTAGTACTACTACTTTACCTTTACCCACCAGCTGTTGTGCTGAATCTTGCGAGTCCTTATGTGCATGATCAAGAAGAGCTTTAGAGGATTGTTTTCTCAGGTCTGGACTCTACGTTTGGAATATGACTAGGCATTGACGATTCTCCTCGTTATCACCACAGAATACTTGCTCAAATACTCGATCTCTCATCCCATCCCTTATCGCAAAATTGCAACCTAGGACAAACAGACATTGACATCCTATGACGTGCAGGTGAGTTATGTGGTTGAATCCTGGTTGCACAGCAACTTGCTCGTACTCACGTTGTAATCTACGCAATCCATGTTGAAGCAGCAATCGGATTTTACTGTGCAAGTTGTGTTGCTACATGCCGCTCTGACAGACATAGATGCCGACAAAGAAATAACAATGGCAGGCAAGGATAAACGCATTTTGCGTGCGAGGTGATATGGAATCTTCTGAGAGGGATTTCGTATGATATCTTTGAGGATGGGAGAACACTATAGGACGACGGCCAGTTTTTATATCTTGCGTGTAAATTTTCGTCCTCTTGTTCCGATCTCATTCTTTTAACCTGCAGTGACCTTGCCCTGCTAGGTGTCATTTCGTCACCGTTTGAAATTCAAACACATCTAAGGTCATAGCTAGTTGGCGGTGCGCCCTGGCCGCTCTCAAAAAATCGTTGTTCCGGCATTGACCTTAAGGAATGTGAGAATTTCCTGATGTTGTCTTCGTCATCACCACAGAACACTCGCTCGAACCCCCCGGTCTCCATCCTGGTTTCGCACTCATCACGAACCTGCAATTTGCCTAGGTGACGCTGTACGTCAACGAGGTTGAAGATGATCCTTCAACTTCTCAACCTCGTCGACGTGCGTCATCGTGAGCATGGTTCGAATTTGTAGCGACGTGCTGCTCGAGCTGCCGGCTCAATTTTCATTTTTGGACGAACAGACTAGAACAACTCCTGTAGCCTATGTGCCCTAGACCCGGAACTCTGGTCTGATCCACCCACTGTTCTACGTCTAGGCAACTTCTCAAACCAATCACATCATGTCATCGACTACTATATCTAGAATTCTCCGGTATCAGCTGCGTCAACCGCGCGCACGCAAAGCTACTACCGACCCATCCATCGACATCCGAAACGAAGAGGCTGGGTCTATTCGTACTCTATAAGTGGGTCAGCCTTATCCTCTCTGGTCTCGGCTCCGGGAGATGCACCACATCGTGCAGCGTCCCCCGCCGGAACGCCCGCCCGCTCTTATAGTGACGTGCTGATGGCGTGTATGCCCCCGATGCCAGGTGCGCTCGGGGAGACACCCGCTCGTCCAGCGAACGGGACAGCGGAGACCATGCCTTCTGACGAAAGAAGGGTGGAGCCTACCCAAACTATGAACATGAAAGACCATATTCCTACGCAGCTGTTGTACTACATCCACATAATCAAATTCTAGCTTCTGAATCACCGACGACCTCTTCTATCCCGACCCCCACTACTCCCTCTTCTACTAACACCGACAGCGCGTTCCTCACGAACAAACTTACAGATGCACAACACAGACAGGTCTCCTGGACTGCTATTGCTGTAACCGTATCTCTAGTTCAAGGTGCCATCACAACTTTTGTCGAAATTTGCGAGTTCCGAAGGTTTATGGACAATCAGATTCAATTTGAGCAGGAGGGAACGTCTCTGGTGGTCAGCCATAGCCATCGCTCTCACTTCTTTAGGCTGTACTTAGGAATCTCAACGACATTACAGGTTTCGCAAATTTCTGATATGGTTGGCGACACACTGTATCCAGGCCATTGGTCATAAAGAGAAGACAGTCTTTATGCTCCAGTACATGCTATCTGAATTGACTCAAACTCCGCGCCGGAGAGACGATTACTAGCTGGACTGCCAATCGTCAGTAATCTTCTGACGGCCATCACGCGATACATTTCAACGACTTACTTTTGAACGCTCTCTCAGAAGGACTGTGTAGCTGACGCAAAAACGGTTAGCAGTAGGTATAGATGATCGTTGATGTGATTGCGACATCAGTAGTGATATTTGTTGATATTTGGACGTTAGACATTTAGTGTCACTCCGAGGTTCCTCGTTTTGTCGGATTGTCCATCAGTCGTTTCGCTCAACGTCTGTGTTCACGTCATTAGTAAGTACTACTACTTTACCCTTACCCACCAGCTATTGTGCTGAATCTTGTGAGTCCTCATTCATATGATCAAGAGAGCTTTAGAGGGTCGTTTGTTCAGGTCTGGACTCTACGTTTGGAACATAACCAGGCATTGACAGTTCTCCTCGTCATCACCAGAGAACACTCGCTCAAACACTCGATCTCTCATCCCATCCCTCATCGCAAAATTGCAACCTAGTCCAAACAGAGATGGACACCCTATGACATGCAGGTAAGTCATGTGGTTGAATCCTGGTTGCACAGCAACTTGCTCAGACTCACGTTGTATTTTACGCAATTCATGTTGTAGCAGCAATCGGATTTTACTGTGCAAGTTGTTGTGCTACATTTTGATGCTCTGCCAGTGACAGACTGTCTGTCACTGGCAGAGCATCAAATAGATACTGACAAAGAAATAACAATGACAGGCAAGGATAAACGCATTTTGCGTGCGAGGTGATATGGAATTTTCTGAGGGGGATTTTAAATGATATTTCTGAGGACGACGGCCAGTTTTTATATCTTGCGTGAATTTCCAATCCCTTGTCCTCGTCTCATTATTTTAACTTGCAGACCTGGCCGTGCCAAGTGTCATTTCGTCACCGTTTGAAATATAAAGTCATAGCTAGTTGGTGATGCCCGGCTGCTCTCACAAAACTGTTGTTCCGACATTAACCTTGAGGAATTTCCTGATGTTGTCTTCGTCACCACCACAGGAATGTGTCTC